CTCTACTCTGCGCTGGTTAGGCCTCAGTTGGAGTAGTGTGTCCAGTTCTGAGCACGCATTTCAAGAAAGGTGTGGAGAAATTGGAGAGGGTCCAGAGAAGAGCAACGAGAATGATTAAAGGTCTAGAGAACATGACCTATGAAGGAAGGCTGAAAGAATTGGGTTTGTTTAGTTTAGAAAAGAGAAGATTGAGGGGCACGTGATAGCCGTTTTCAGATATCTAAAAGGGTGTCATAAGGAGGAGGGAGAAAACTTGTTCATCTTGGCCTCTGAGGATAGAACAAGAAGCAATGGGCTTAAACTGCAGCAAGGGAGGTTTAGGTTGGACATTAGGAAAAAGTTCCTAACTGTCAGGGTGGTCAAACACTGGAATAAATTGCCCAGGGAGGTTGTGGAATCCCCATCTGTGGAGATATTTAAGAGTAGGTTAGATAAATGTCTATCAGGGATGGTCTAGACAGTATTTGGTCCTGCCGTGAGGGCAGGGTCTGGACTCGACGACCTCTCGAGGTCCCTTCCAGTCCTAGTATTCTATGACTCTATGATTCTAAAGATGCAGAGAGGTGCATCGTGGGCTGTTCAAAAGACCTCAGGCACCTACCTGAACCTCTAGGGGCCTAAATCCCTTTACAAATCTAGGGCCAGAAGGGACTGTAATGAGGTTCTTATGCTGGTGTCCAACACCATAGTATCTGAGCACCTTTCAAAGCTGGGAGTGTCGATCCGGCACTCTTTGCAAGCAGCAATGCATTTATGTTACTTTAAATATGAGGGGGAATATAACGTTTTGCAAATGACTCCAGGAATGGCCCGGAAGCCTGCAGCAGCACAGTGCAGTTGGGACCAGCGCTAGAATGCTGGAGGAATTTACTTTTTAAATTCAAAAAAGGGTTTCTTTATAAATGGTCCCCTTGTAGCTCTAAGAGATGATACCAAGTAACTAACGGGCCCTTTGTCCCTTCCTGGTGAGGCTAGGCACAGGACTGAATTCTAGTTACAAAATCTTACTTCCTGAATGAAGTGGTTAAGTGGTTCTCTTTTGCTTTACTAACAAAAATAAGCAAAAAACTCAGTAAACTACTACTATGACACTATGGCTTGACTGCTGGCATGTAAATGGGACCTGCCTTCCAGAGGCTGGAATCTGAACACCTCCCATGTCAATAACAGATGTCTAAATCTGCTTGGTTTCCTGCATGTTAGCTGCGGCGCTCTGGGTCCAGGCTGGCTGCTAGCCTCCCACCTCACTGGAGGCACCCACAGGTCAATGCAGGCTAGGTGGAGGCCATGATGGGGACACATACCTCCATACTGGGTGCCGTAGTATCCCGAGCTGACGTACATGGCCTGGTGGGAATCCAAGGGCACTGTCTGGTAATAGTCATCATACGGGTCGTACATATGGACCTACAAGGGGGGAGAGCAACACAGATGTTAGGGCCAACAGCGATCTCTTTCCGCCTGCTCCCGACTCTGCCTCAGCCTCTAGGTCAAGAGCATGTGCAGCACAGCGGGGCACTGACGTATTTCTGAACTTGCTCCTCTCACAAGTCAGTGTAGGCCCCTCTCGCCCCCTGTATCCAGACCCCTGGGAATTAGCTTTGGCTGAACACTGTGCTGCTTCTGTAGGCCAAGCTCATTGCTCACATCAGAGCTCCCCTTTCCTGCTCAGGCTCCTTCCCATCCCCCCTCCTCCTTCATGCCAGGGGCTGTGACCTCCCATTCCTCTCTCCTCCATACAAGGGTCTCCCCTTCCCCCATCCCAGTGCGGGGGGCCCCCATTCCCCCTCCTCCTCATTCTTATTCATTTTCTTTCTGTTTAGCAGATAAGTCATACAGGGTATCAACATTTTAAACCCTGTATATGAAACACACTACAGTAAAACTCCGATGGTCCAGCATCTGATGGTCCAGCACCATCAGGAACCCGGAAGTGCTCCGGGCAGCCGGACCATTGGAGCTGCTCTGCCCCGGGCTTCCCCGATTCAGACGCTGCTGAAACTGACCAGTGGCTGACTCAGGGAAGCCGGGGGGCAGAGCAGCTTTGTCCTGGGCTTCCCGGAGTCAGCTGCTGGTCAGTTTCAGCAGCGGCTGGCTTGGGGGAGGCTGGGGGACGGACTAATTTCCAGGCTTCCCTATAGTGTAAACACACAATTTTGAAATATGCTATTTCAGACTATTTCTTCCAGAATAGCTTATTCCGAAATAATCATGCAATGTAGACCTAGCCATAGAGCCCCTGGCATCTGGTAGAAGAACTTGCAGGTCCCATCAGGTGTGTGATTGCCTAGAAAGCAAAGAACCAGATGATCACACTGTTGATATTTTCACACACTCCCCAGCTCAGCTCTGCCTGTCCTCCCAGGAGGATTTCCATATACAGTAAACTTCCGATAATCCGGCACCTTTAGGACCCAGGAGGTGCCGGATTATCAGATATGACGGGCTATCGTAAGGGGGAGCTATGAGGGGTCTGGGGTGGCATCCCCCCCCACACCACCCTAGACCCCTCATAGCTCCCCCTTACGATAGCCCGTCATATCTGATAATCCGGCACCTCCTGGGTCCTAAAGGTGCCGGATTATCGGAAGTTTACTGTATATGGAAATCCTCCTGGGAGGACAGGCAGAGCTGAGCTGGGGAGTGTGTGAAAATATCAACAGTGTGATCATCTGGTTCTTTGCTTTCTAGGCAATCACACACCTGATGGGACCTGCAAGTTCTTCTACCAGATGCCAGGGGCTCTATGGCTAGGTCTACATTGCATGATTATTTCGGAATAAGCTATTCTGGAAGAAATAGTCTGAAATAGCATATTTCAAAATTGTGTGTTTACACTATAGGGAAGCCTGGAAATTAGTCCGAGGCAGGCTCCCCTAATCTGGATGCGCTACCTCGATTTAGCTCCAGGAGGCACTGGGGAGTAATTATTCTGAGTGGCCTGGGGGAGGAGCTATTTCGAAATAGCAGCAGTGGAGCGTCCACACGACCACTATTCCGAAATAGCTATTTCGGAAGAGGCGTTATGCCTCGTGGAATGAGGTTTACAAATGCCAAAATAAGCTGCCTGTTATTTCAAAATTATTTCAAAATAACAGGCTAGCTATGTAGACGCTCGCATAGTTATTTCAGAATAACAGGCGTTATTCCAAAATAACGCTGCCGTGTAGACATAGCCTATGTGTCCCCCATTTCTTTCATTCAGTTTTTTCCATCAAATTCAACAGGGTTGCTCACTGAGGCCTAGCCCTTTCCCTGAAATGTTATAACTAACTCGGTGCAGCGTTCAAAAGCTATTGTGGTACATCCAAACAGACCCTCTTGCAGCTGAATGTAGGATTTTGCTTCACTTGACCAATTATGGTAAGGCCTAGAGGTCCCAGCTGAGAGTAAGGTCCCATTATCCCAGGCACTGGAGGTACATGTAGTAAGAGACAGTCCTTGCCACAAAGTGCTTAGTCTAAATAAACAAAGGTCAGGAAGGGAAACTGAGGCACAGGACCAAGAAGTGACTCAGCCATGATCACTGAGTAGGCTACTGCCAGAACTGGACCTAGAACCCAGCTCTCTGGGGGAACACACATGCACTAGTGGGAAGAAAGAATTCATGGGGTGACATAACCTAGTTTACACGGGTGCGTCTCTCACTCTCTCTCACACGTGCACGCCCCATCAGCTACGTCTACACTGGCACCCTTTTCCGGAAATGCTTAAAACGGAACAGTTTTTCCATTATAAGTATTTCCGGAAAAGCGTGTCTATATTGGCAGAATGCTTTTCCGGAATAGCCCTTTTTCCGGAAAAGCATCTGTGGCCAATGTAGACGCGCTTTTCCAGAAAAGAACCCCGAGCGTCATTTTCGCGATCGGGGCTTTTTTTCTGGAAAAGACTACTGGGCTGTCTACACTGGCCCTTTTCCAGAACAGTGTTCCGGAATAAGGACTTATGCCTGAGCGGGAGCAGCGTAGCTTTTCCGGAACAGCGGCTGATTTTGTACAGTAGAGCGTCATTGCTTTTCCGGAAATTCAAGGGCCAGTGTAGACAGCTCGCAGCTTATTCTGGAAAAGCGGCTGATTTTCCGGAATAAGTGGCCCAGTGTAGACACAGCCTTTGTGTTTCAAAAGCGCATAGCATCTAATCATCAGCCTCAGAGGCAGCGTGCACTTAAAATATGCCTCTCCCAGCAATCAGGTATGCAGTAAGAGCCAGGGAACGCGGCTGCTGAAGCCCGCACTTCCAGCTGGTGTCCCTGTGCACAGCCTGTCCACAGATCCCATCCCCCCAGTCTGTCCTGGGAATTTGATTTGATTTTTATTGAATTGCTCATTTCTGTAGATGGAGCCCCTGGAGAGGAATTAATGCAGATTAGCAGCTCTCTGCTCCGTGCTTCCTATTAAAATGTATTTATTTGTACCTCGTAAGTCAGCACAGGGAGGCTGTTAATGATTTGAGAGCTTAAACTGTTTTTAAATGGATTCCACTCTCCTTCAGACTGATTTACAGACGTCCCTCCGAAAGGTCCAGAGACCTGAGGGTGTCTATGCTGCGAGCCTGAGGCGAGATGTACCCAGGGTGCCTGTGAAGCTGTTCACGCTGCCAAAGCTTCCCTGCTATTGATCTGACTTGATTACAACTAGCTCAGAGACCTCTACACATCATACCTCAAGCTGCAGTGCAGTTACACCCTCAGGCTGAAGCCAATGGTTCAACTCCCCTTAACATGGACAAGATCAGACCCTAAAACAGACAACTGATGAACAAGCCACTCTAGGAAGACTGCAGTCTGAAGGGGCACCCCCCCATACTAACAGATCAGGCATGCAAGTGTAGCGCCAACAAGTAGAATTGAACGTAGGATCTCTGGAGCTTAGTGCATGATCCTCTGCAGCTTGAGCTAAAAGCCAACGGGCTTGCAACTCAGGTTGTAGAGAAAACTCTCTCTCTCTCTCTCTGTAAGTGGCCTAAGTGCCACTACGTGGGACAGTGAACCACACCCAGTAGGTGGGTGCGTTACACAAGGAATGGTCATGCCCCATGTTACTGACACTGCAGTAAAGTCTACAGCACAAGCTACCATGCCAGTGTTCAGTGAGTTGTGTGTGGGCCAGTGGACTGAGGATAGGACAGGACAGCAGGAGTCCTGGTTTTATTCCTGGCTAACTGTATGAGGTGGTGCCGGCTGCCAGCACCATGTGCCAAGGGCCCATGTGGGAAAAAACCTGCTGCTTGAGCAGGGCACGTGTTTGGCCTTAGGGCTGAAGCTGCAAGTGAGCGAGATGGTAGCGAAGGGTTAAGAGAGAGAGCTATAACATCAAGGGACCCGTCTCCATTCCATTGCGCCAGGGCAGCTGGCTACAACCTGGCACTCTCCAGCAAGGATTGAAGCAGAGCCCAACAGATGAACTCCCACCTGTGTCCTTGGACTGTCTGAAGTCAGGGATGTTGTAAGGTCCCTACTGCAATCAGTGCTCTGGCCCAGCTGGACATGTGGCTTAGCCAGGCCTCTAGGGAGTTAGATTTGGTGGCTGACACCGACAGCGGCTCACCCCAAGGGCTCAAAGCCTGAACACAACCAGGCCAGCAGTTTGTGCTGATTTCTCTTATGCAGAGAGCAGCTGGATTTGTTCCATGATCATCACAGATAGCGTCACCAGCCTCAGTAACGTACTGAGTGTTCCAAGCTATCAGAGCAGGGAGCAGAAAGCCTAATCCCTTTGTCCAAACGCCAGGCCGAATGTGCATGTGCACGTGCCGGAGCGGAGACCCGCCGGCTGCAAACTGCACAGGGAGCCCTTGCTTCCAGGCAGCACTTGCATGTGGGGTACAGCTCGCTTTTCTCTTCTAGCCAGTGCAACAAGCATGCGTGCTAGTGCTGGAGGAAGGGGTTGATTGACGCCTCCCCTGAAGACAGCGTTCTCCAATTATCCATACTGGAAGCCAGGGATGCCTGTCCAGCCTGCCTGCTCCAGCAGAGTCATGGCCCAAGCCTGAGAGCAGCCATGATGCAGAAAAAGCACCACCTGGACAGTGTGCTTCTGTTCCCAGCTCTACCCAGCTGCAAGACTTCAGTAAAGTCAGTAAGGCCCAATTGTACTGAACTAGCCCTGGGTCTGGGTACCCAACTGGAGCCATCCCAGACCTGCCTTCAGGAAGAGGAAAGGATGTTCAGCCACTCTGACAAACAGCCTCTGGGTTCAATTGCTTGCTCTGCCACTGAATCCATCTGTAACCTTAGGCAAGTCACTTAACCTACCCAATGGCTCACAGACCCAGCTGTAAAATGGGGAAGATAATCCCTCCTCCTCCACCTGTTACCTGGCTGGGCGGTGTAGGCAGTAAGCTCCTCAGGGCAGTGGCTACTCCTTACTCTGAGCTTGTTCAGTGCCTGGTGCAAACGAGCCTCTCGG